GATCGACAGCCGGGGCGTACTGTCCCGTCGCTGACGCTTCCGGTGTACTTCCCCCCGTAGGATTCCTCCGGAGCTGATCTATCAACGTGTCCTGCGCGGCCATCACCCCACAGCCCCAATCCACGGCACGCTTGAGCCCCGCGATCTCTATCTGAGCAGCGTCAAGCGCATTTTTGATCTCTCGCTGCTTGGTGAGCGTGAGCAATAGCTCTTCTCGATCCCACTGGTTTTGTTCGTTGAGGCGGCTGATCTGGGCGTTGAGGTGGGCGATCAGGGCGGAGTCGCGGACTTTTTCCGGGGGGTAGGGGTCTGGAGGTGGAGGACTGATAACGGGGACGGGGATCGAGGATACACTTCGTGGAGTCTGGGGAGTGCTCGGAGAGGTCGTTGTCGTCGGGGCGAGGTCGGTGGCGGGAGCGGTGAGATTGGTTGAGATGGCTGAGAGGGTCTCGAGGAGTGATGTGCCGGGTGTCTGGGACTCCGGAGTGCTCAAGAAGTCCACCTCCTCGTCATCGATTGACTGCTGAGCTACGTTGGAGGGGATGCTGGTCGAGCTCGGGGAGGTTGGGTTGAAGAGCGGGCTACGCCTGAAGTCTGTATCGTCGAGTACTATGTCACCCACATTCGACAACGGAGCCGCCTTGAGTGAGGCCGGGTCGGACCGGACCTGCGAAGCCGACACCTCGATCTCTCCGTCGTCACCAGTAGGCCCACTGTGCTGGGAGCTCGCATGGAACCGTTTCTCGATATGCTGAGCAACGCGACGCCAGCCCCTCGAGACCCTCGCCGACCTCGACATGGACTTGCGGCTCCGGCGGTGCCACGTCGTGGGGGCGCAGACGGTCAGTTCCCGCCGGGTCTTCTTGCTTTTGGGGTTGTACGCCGAGTCGTGGAGATCATATGCCGAGGCGGTGTTCGCGAAGTCCACGTCCCACGGTATTGTCTCGCGATCATGAGGAAGCAGGTCGGGCAGGTAGAGTGAAGGGTTGGACGGTCGGGCACGGAGGGTGTATCGCGACGATGAAGGGGACATGGGTGGTGCTTCCGCAATGGAATTGAACAAGAAAGGCGTCACGCACCGCGAGTGAGATTGGGGAGTTGCGGAGGCCCTAGGAGACTGGGATGGACACAAGATATCCCAAGACACAAAAGGACACGCGTGGTCAGTGGTAAGGACTGATATGAGCGAGGGACTCAAGCAAGGGCTGGAACAGGTAAAGGCGGGCCGTGCGAAAGAAGCATGTCTTGTCCGTCCACCCTTGGTGCCTTCTAGTTTCTGAGCCTGAAATGCTGGAGATCCATCCCCATGCACCTTCACCACACTGCTCCCCTGCCTCCCCTCCTACGTATCCCAGCTCCCAACGCGAGCCTCTGAGAGCTGGTCATGGGACGGCACTCTTCCCCTCAGACCGCCACTGCTACCATTGCCACACGCCTGCGGAGTGTTGGTGATCTCCGCGGTCCCCTCGTTGCCGATGTTGTGACGTCCGCCGCACCTGGGCTTCCCGACTTTCCAGGTAGATAACTTTGTACAACGTCAAGTCACATTCTCCTCCACACAAGATCTGTCCAGAAAGTCTGGAACGACATGCCGCCGCGGCTCCCCATCCCGCGCACTCCTCCTCGCTCGCTTGCGGGTCGTCCAGGACGCATCCCCACCCGCCCGCTCTCCGTCCTCACACACCGACACACCGACCCCGTCCCATTCTTCACTCCTCCCTTCCGGCCTGGTCCATCCAACATCCCGCGGAACGGGACGGATCCCGACAGACGAAACGGTAAAGGCAAAGCAAAGGCTCCCGATCCAGGCGCAGATCCTGAGCAGGAAGTAGACGACCATGAGTGGGAGATGCGAGTCGGTGCGTGCAGTGACTCGGCATCATCTGACTCGAGTAACTCGACTTGGGTGGGGTGGATGAAGCTTAAGAATGCACGTAGCTCGGGCGATGCTCCATCTGCGTGATACCTTGCCCCATTTCTTCCACCCCGAGCAAAGCTCCAGCAAGATGCTGCCCTCGGATGTGTTCAGCCAGCACGTCGTGCTCAAGCTGCCTGCACCGTTCCCCATAAAGGTGGGTCGGTTGGTGTGAGGAGGTCGGAGGAGTTCTCGTTTGCGCAGCAAGCTGTAGCACTTAGCTTGTGACTGGCATACGCTGTACACAAGGCATTCACTGACATCTCGACAGGTATCTTCGCTCGCCGCATATTCAATGGCCTTCTCCATCGCGCGGAACGGAATGTCCGGTGAGGCCCGGCGCGAGGACCACCATCCGCAACTCTCACCCCGCTGACCTCACAGCGCTGCATACCGACCTGACCGCCTCGCTTGAACGCATGACGTTCAGCCCGCAGCCGAACCTGCCCGACAACCGCACGGACATGCTTCTCTCGCACAAGTCTGTTCCGCAGCATCGGCGCAAGCAGATCCGGGTTCTCGTATCTGTTTCGGGCATCCCGCGCTTACCCCCTCACAAGGTGGGCAGCCTTTCCGCTCCTCCACGCTCGCTGAGAAACCCGACGGAAGACCCGCTAATCCAGATGCAGGAGGCTACGTGGCAGACATCATCGCTGTACACGTTCTCGCCTTACTCCGGCCTGATCGTCTCACACGAAGTCGAGACGATCCGACCGCTTCCCGGCGAAGGCGTCGCCGAATGGGTCATGTCGAGGCTACTCGGGTGGACGACGCGACATGCTGCTGGCGAAGGAGCGATGCCCGCGCCGAGAGCGATGGCGGTTGAGCCAGAGCCAGAGGTGGTGCGCTTCAAGCGACAGGAGAGGGAAAGGCATCAGTGAACGAGGAAGAATTGATCTGCACCGTTGGGATCATATTGCTCCTCGAACAGAACGCGGATCGTTGTACGTTAGTAAAAGCCTCGAGTTGTGCCAGGAGAAGCCGCTCAGTCTGCGCGAGAATACAGATGCATCTCGCTAAACCCCTCCTACAAGCGATCTCCCATGCCGCATTTACTGCAGGCATCATCAGCTTCTCTTCGACTGCATTTGCACATGGCACACTCACAGCAGCGATGGTAACCTCGACCTCGACTCCGGGCTCGAGCGAGATGGAGGTCTGTGACGGAGATCAGCAACATTCATTCCCCGCCTGATCGCCTGGGGATGTGTCATGTGCGCTGGGTCCCGCCGACTCACGATCTGCTTGACGACGTCGGCAGACGAGTTGAGGTCGATGAGACGCTTGTGAATGCGCATCTCGTAGCGGTCCCAGGTCTTGGACCCCTCACCACAAGGGGTCTTGCGGGTGACGTGTTTGAGGACCTTGGTGGGGAGGCGGACGGGGCCCTTGACGCGGAGGTCACGGTCCTTGGCGCGGTTGATGAGGTCGGCGCAGACTGGTCAGGTCAGCGGCAGCCCGACGATGAGGCGTGGTCCAAATGATCCGCGTCGCGTTGATCGTGTCTTCTCCGGAAGATTCGCAAAGCCAGCCTCGACCCGACCACCCCTCCGAGGTCGAGAGAGCCATGTCACTCCGAATCTCCCTCCGACCTCTTTCACCACCCGACCGATACTGCCCTGCTTCCCGCCTGGCATCCGCACCACACTGCATGCAGCCTCCCAAAACGACCCATCCGCACTCGCACTCACACTTCTCAAGCGGCTTCACGTTACGCGAGGTAAGCGTGATCCTGATCTTGTGGACCTTGGCCGCGGGGGCGCCGGTCTTGTCGAGCTCCTTGTCGTAGTCCATGGTGGCGGTTTTGGTTTTGGTGATGTGGTGGTCGGCGGTGTTGCGCGAGGGGAGACAGCGACTTAGCGGTCTGTTTGGGTTGGCAGGCCGCAGGCAAAGTGAACTGGCTCGAGAAGAAGAGGAGAAAAGAGCGAGTTGAGAAATGATTTGGTGTGGTGGTGGGCGGGAGGTGGTGGGTGTGGCAGTTTCGCGTGAAAATTGATAACAAACAATGACGTGTCGATTCATTGCCCAACTAAGATTTGATTCCGTCGACTCGACGCTTCTTGCGTTTCCCCGCTCGTCGTTGAATTGTTGAATTTCAAGACATTTGTTGTCAAACACACTCGCATCGACATCAGCACCACGCTCAACATGGTCCGACTTATCACCCACAACATGCTGACATGTCACGTCCGTGAGTGAGACTGGAGACTTCTCGCCGCAGCAGCAGCTGGAACTCTCCCTCTTCGAACCCTCCCTGCCTACTCCCTGTCTATCTTGTGCGCCTGTTGCGTGTCATGAGGTCTCTTGGTCTATTTCTGCCCTCGTCTACTCACGTGGACACTGGCGAGCGACGTTGACACCCCACCAGGCAACTGCACCAAGGACAACTTCCCCCTCGTTTTCTCCGACGTCGAGCTCGTCGTTCGCGAAGCACCAGAGAATCTCGATTTCATTCGCCGTTTCCTGCCAAAGCTCGACTGGGCGGCGTTAGTGGACACCGCGCGCTCGGTGGGTCCAGCCGGCATGAGCGAGACGGAATGGGCACAAGGGGCAATATACTGATGAGTCGCGTAGCTAGGAGATGAGAGCTTGCCGGACACGCAGCCAGAGGAGTTTACCGACGAGCAGCTGAGAGCGCTGCATCACGTCCTCATGGAGGTGAGTGGACTTCACCGCAGATTTGCTAGACAGTCGACACGCCAATGCCTAGTCACACCGCTCTTGCTTGGCTGATTCCTCCAGATGCATGTTGAGGAGGGCAAGATGACATGCCGGGGATGCGGGCACGTCTACCACATCTCAAATGGCATTCCAAACATGGTGGGTGGCACCGGCCTCTCCACGCCTCGCGTCTCATCGGACCTCATTCACTCCCGCAGCTTCTCGCCGAGCACGAGGTTGGACGATAACCGGATACGTGTATCCGCACCCGCACCCACGCCCGCACCGCATCCGATGCGTGGATGATGGATACACCATCCGATGCCGTTGACGAATGATATAGATGCCATATGCAGTGTTGTACCATACTTGGGGTTGAACTACTACCTTTCGTCCGCCGGGCACGTCGCATTCGCGCACTATCTCCATCCACCACCACCACCACCGCCGCCGCCGCCCGCACCGTACCCGCCTTGTGCGTTGTATCCTGACCCCGCCCCTCCTCCGTACTGACCACCCTGCTGCCCTTGACCCGGTCCTTGCCTGTATCCTTGTTGCTGACTGGGATATCCCGATCCGGGCCCGTATCCCCCTCCACCTGGTGCTCCTGGTGCTCCCTGTCCTGCCGGATATCCCTGCTGTTGACTATACCCTCCTCTTCCGTCGCGATCCCCGTACCCTTGCCCTTGTCCCTGCCCTCCGTCTCGACCATACCCTCTGTCCCCTCCGAAGCCATCTCGATTGCCTCCATATCCTTGACGACTGCCTTGTTGCCCGCCGCCGCCCCCGTAGCCATCCCTCCCGCCTCTATTATCGCCATACCCACCGCCGCCTCTCCCCTCGTACCCTCCTCCAGTTTGCCCTCGACCGTCTCCATACCCCTGGCCGCCACCACCGCCGCCACCACCGTATCCTTGTCTTCGCCTGTCATCGTCCTGCCTCCCCGCGTTCCTCCTAAGCATTTCATCCTGACTTGGAAGGGGTCCGCCCGGTCTTCCGATCGCCTCTCCATCGGCACCCCAGGACCTCACGGGAGGCGGCGGTCCTTGCTGCTGGAAGGAGGATCCTCCCAATCCTGGCAGTCCACCGAATCCCTGCGAGCCGGTACCATTGGGCGAAGTCGTCCTGCTGGGGGTCTCGCTCTTCCTCTCATCCTTGACCGCCAAACCAGGTAATCCAGCCAATCCTGGCAAACCAGCTCCTGGACCTTCCTCATCCACGGGTCCCATCCTGCGTTTGCCACCCATCTCAGCCTCCATTTTCGCTCCCATCGCTTTTTCTTCCCCAATATGCCACCGGTCGATCTCCTGCCCTCCCACCGGCCTCGCTCGGGACCAGAAACGCGCGGTGAAGTCCTTGGAGCCTGAGCAGAGGATGTGGCCGAGAGGATGGAACGACAGGGAGAAGACGGCGTCCTCGTGCGCGTACTCGAGGTTGGTGACGGGCTTGGAGGAATCGGAGGCGAGTAGTGACCAATAGATGATCGAGCCGGCGGCATCGCCTGACACGAGCAGAGAATGGTGAATCGGATGCCACTCGAGACCTGAGGGAGGGGGCAACGATCAGCACGCGGCACCATGGGGTTTGTACTCTACGAGCAGATTCAACGCACAGTTGACCTCCTTTGTGTGCCCCTTCAACGCCTCGAGCTCCCTAAACGTGCGAATGTCAAAGAGGCGGACCGTGCCATCGCCTCCAGCCGTAGCGACGAGGTGTCCATCGGGATTCCAGCTGCACGCATTGATCGTGGACTTGTGCGAGTGCCTGCAATGATCAGAGCTGGACATGGGGACGAGCGCGGGCGTGCACTCACAGTGTGCTCAAATCCTTGCCAGTGCGAGGATCCCAGAATTTGACCAGCATGTCCTTACTCCCACTGACAACGAGACCTTTCGAGGGGTGCCAGTCAACTGAGCGGACGTCCCATCCGTGGCCTGCATGGATTAGTCACAGCAGTCTCTGGCAGACGTCCAAGCGCGTCCGTTGCTCATCCCCAGCCTCGTCCATGTCATCGAAGCGACCCAGCCTTTCCCTAAGGGGGCTTCCCCCTCGCAGCCTTACTCTCACAACCGCAACAACTGTAACCCAACTCACCAGCCAAAGCCTTCTCCTCCTTCCCCTCCCTGTAGTCCCAAATCTTCACCAACCCATCATCTCCGCAGCTCACGAACCGCTCGTCATTCGGACTCCAGCTGACGCCGTGGCACGCCTCCCGGTGTCCTTGGAACCCGTGCACGTTGGTGAGATGGGGGGTGAAGTACTTGATCATTCCGGTCTTGTCGGCTGAGACGAGGGCTTGGCCGTTGTGCGAGTAGGTGAGGGCGCGGATCGAGTCGTCGTGCACCTGCAGCGGGAGGTGGCCGCGGACAAGTAAGGTGGGTGAGAAGGAAGTGGAGGAATAAGTGGAAGAAGTTGATGATGTAGAACAAGTAGATGATGTAGAACAAGTAGATGATGTAGAACAAGTAGATGATGTAGAACAAGTAGATGATGATGATGTAGAACAAGTAGATGAAGTAGACGAAGTAGAAGAAGTTGGAGAGGTAAAATAGCAGAGAGAGCGGTATATCAGCGAGGCATTTTGTCAAGTAGTACCGCTCGCTTACCTGCGTGATGCTCTCGTAGTTGAACGAAGCCCCATTCCACAAGGTGAACTGTCCCTTGTCGTTACCCGTTAACAACCTTCGAGCGTCCGGCGTCCACTACGTGGTTAGTCAGCCATGGTTCGTTACGTCCTCAGAGAGGTCCAGTACGCACGCTGACGACCCGGGTCGGCGAACGTTCCTTGTTGATTGAGGTGTGGACAAAGTAGTCGCAGATAGATGTGGACGGATTGAGCCGATGTGCGGCCGGCGGCAGGAGCTGAACAAGAGATCAGCATGGGCCACTGAGCTCTTGGACCGATCTTGGATTGATCCTGAGCCGCCTGCAGTGCTCACCCCGATCAGATCTGATGGATTTGGATGTATCGTAGGGAGGTAGTCCGGTAACCCTTTCATCTTCGCGAGCTGAGTGAGAGCGATCAGTATCCTATCTGCGGCCCCAGGGCGAGGCGGTGAGGAGTTGGGTCGGAGAGTGACTCCACTCACCTGACGCCACTTGATCACCCCGCCTTGAAAGTCCACCGTCCTTCGAGGCTTGTACCTCCTCGTTCCACGATTGTCCCCTCCCAGTCGGGTGACCGCGGCTTGGTACGCCGCCTGCTCGAGCACCTCCTCATTGTCGGGATGGAGGGGCTCGAGATATTTAGTCGGACGCCAGGCGTCAGGACCACGAGAGGGTCCGGCCTTGGCAGCGGCGCTCATCCTGCGTGCGATGTTAAGGCTGGGGTTGGAGAGATAGGTGAGCGATGTAAAGCGTTGTGAATGGAGTTGAGCTGGACGTTGCGTCTGGAAGGGGAGACGACGGGTGAGAGCGGGAGCAAAAGTGCTGGGAAGCCGGTGGATTAGGATTGATTCGTAATAATAGGGAAGCCTAATACAATTCAAATACAATATGAGGAAAACAAGCACATACGATGCCTGTCGCACTCTCGCAGCTTTACCTTCTGTAGCGGACATGCATGCATGCACTCGCCCGGCTTGACTCGGTGAGATACTCGCAGTCGCGTCGCCCACGCCAATGCATGCAAGCCAGCTTGAAGACTTGACGCCGACGCCGACGCCTTCGCCGACGCCTACGCCGCCGCCACAAAGGCAAAGCGAAGAAGGAAGTGACTACTAACCACCGACACGACAACAGTTTCAGATTTACTCGCCTTCACTTTTCCTCTTCCTCTTCCACCTCGCATCCAGCTCATCCACCTCTTCCGCAATGCTCTCGGATCAACAACACGTCCATTGACCCTCTCCGCATCCCCTCTCTCCCGTTACAACCACCCGGTCGCGTGCATATCGCCCGTCGGGATCGAGCCGACCTTCCACGTGTCGAGTCAACAAATCCTTCGCCTGCGAGATTCCTACCCCTCCTGCGCCGCCTCGTCCCCTGTGCTCGACCTGATCTTCCTTCGCCCTCGTCCTTTCCCTGATTCCGCCATATGATCAGCCCACCCCCGGCCACACTCTGACACCACCACAAACGCGACCATGGTATACGATCCGATACGCGATCGCGAGGTGCCTTCCCCGGCGGAGACGGCCCCGCCGCTCGAGGCATGGAAGTACCAGCAACACCGCCATCAGGAAGCGATAACGCCGTCGTCCATGTACTCTGATGATCCCCGACTTGGCTACAACGGCGCATCCCGACCACCGGCTTTTGCAGGTCATGCACCATCCCCTTCCGCGCCGCTTGGTCGTTCGATGTCGTCCATGTCGGCTTCGACCTCGGGCGGCGGCGGGTTGCGCGGCTTGCTGAATGATGACGAGGCCGAGTCGAGGAGGGGAAGCGCACAGGCTCTCTCGGCATGGTCAGAGGAGGAACATCGACCGTCGATCCATCGTATGCTCAGTGAAGCCGCACCTCCGATATCCAAATCCAACTCGGCGAGCTCGCTGCATTCTGCATCACCATCCAACCAGTCCCCGAGGCCGAGGCATATCGATCACAATCATGCCGGGTTCCTCACCCCGGCAACCCCCGCCAGCGGATTGAGAGCCAGCAAGTCGCCCGTACCGCCGGCGTCACCCCCCGGAGGAGCTCACTACCACGAATATGGAGGCTACTACGAGGCCGGACCTTCCCACTCGCATCCTTACTCTCGAAGACCATCGGCAAGCGGTCAGAGACCCATGCTTCCTCCGGAGAGCATCCCTCGCCAGGTCGACTTCGAGGCGTCCAGGCTGACACCGTCCGCTCACGCTCTCCCGCTTCGATCCCCATCCGTGTCCGTCTCGCCGAGAAGTCACCACGCGACGCTTCCGTATGGTCAGGTCTCTCGTCCCAGCTCGGCCACATCCGCTGGACCCGGGTCAGGACCCGGATCATTCGCCTTCCAACCGCCTCCCCACCCTGCCGCTTCGCCGTCCGCGTCATCTCGACGCCTCTCCGAGGAGCCGAGGCCGCTGTCCGGCGGCGTCAGTCACAATGGGCGACGCCTCACACTTCCCGCCCGTCGATCCAGTCAGGCAAGCGCGTACTCACATTCCACACCCGTTCGCTCCCCCTCGCCGATCCCGAGGGCACCATATAACCCCCATCGGATCAGTGAGCCCACCACGCTGCTGTATCCCATCACGCCCGACGAAGCTGCGCATCTCAGGGAAGCTGGTCTGGCCAACAACCCCCTGCGCAGGAAGAAGCGAGCACGACCTCTGCCATCGTGGTCGGCGCCCTCGCCTGCGGGTGCGGGTCGCGCCACTCCCGCAGAGTCGGACAATTCGTACTTCCCTCCGCAGGAAGAGGGCTCAGCCAAGCGGAGTATGAGCTATATCCCACGGAGAGATTCAGTCTCTTCGGCTGGTCGCCCATCCGTCACTCCAGGTCCATCATCCGCGGGTCCGAGTCCGAGAATTCAATCCAGACCTGCCCCGAACCAACGGCAAGCCGCGCCGGGTAATCACAACAAACGACCCCTGGAGCAAGAGACCGACGGTCATGACACCCTCAGGCGCAAGGTCAGCGAGGCACATTTCGTCGGCAACGCGGCGGTGGCGAATTTCTGTGAGTGAAGATCACGAAACAATCCGGTTCATCATGTGAATGACGCACTGACCTCGTTTGCAGATAACGCGCGTCCCGAAGTCGGGGTGGAGCACCGAGAATACTCGCCGATCATTGGCCTGAAAAAGTTCAACAACTGGATCAAGTCGGTTCTGATCGGCAAGTTCTCATATCGGCCACCGGGTGGATCGGGGGCGAGAGTGCTGGACATTGGTTGCGGCAAGGGAGGAGATTTGCAGAAGTGGAGACAAGCGAGAATACAGCTCTACGTTGGATTGGGTGAGCAAATCCCACCCGTCATATCTCAGTCTGGTGGCTTTGCCCGCTAACGGCGACGTCTCAGATATCGCGGCCACATCGGTGCAGCAGGCCGAAGAACGGTATCGCAAGATCCACAGAGCACCATTCGACGCCTTTTTCTTCGCGCACGACTGCTTCTCCCAACCCATCTCCAACATCTTGCCTGAACCACTCAAGCAGGCAAACCTGTACGACAACGTGTCGATGCAGTTCTGCATGCACTACGCGTTCGAGTCCCCCTCAAAGGCGAGGATGATGATTGAGAATGTGTCGAGGTATCTCCGGCCCGGTGGAGTGTTTATTGGTACGATCCCGAATGCCGACTTGCTCCAGTACGTGTGAAGGATATAGCATCTGGTCGGGATCGAGCCGCGCTGACTCCGATGTTAGGACCCGCCTCGCCGAGGTTCCCGAGGACGACGAGGAGCTCAGGTTCGGCAACAGCGTGTATTATATCCAGTTCGACGAGCGCAAGCACAAGGGCATGTACGGCCATCGCTACCGCTTCTTCTTGACCGACGCGGTCGAGGATGTCCCAGAGTATCTCGTCAACTGGGACAACTTTGAAGCGTGAGTGCGGCTTGTGGCTCTTCTCCTCGTCCTGCTCCGACGTCTGAACTTCTGCTACTTCCTTGCCAACTTTATATCGCGTGCTTGCCCTCCCTCTCCGCCTGCGTTGCCCCTTCCACGCACTTCCACGCAGCTGCTGACGACCCGGGCAGCCTCGCGGCGGAATATCGCCTCCGTCTGATCTACAAGAAACAGTTCAACGACATCCTCACCGAAGAGGCACCGTCCCGCGATTTCGGGCCTTTGCTGGGCAAGATGGGCGTCCTCAACGAACACGGAGAGAGCATGATGGACGGTGATCAATGGGAAGCAGCCAGTGAGTAGGATGGGCTATTTTACCTACTGCTCTCGAGGAGAGCCGTGTCATGTGCATTTGTTCGATGTACTGACGCGCCGTCTAGTGCTGTACATGGGCTTTGCGTTTGAGAAGATGTAGGCGGCGTCCTGTCCCTTGTCTCGATCGGGATGGACGAGTTGTATCGTATGATGCATTGCTCCCGCAAGCCGAAGCTGCCCGATGCCGAGCGATGAGAATAACATGCCAGAAGCTCAATGTTAAATGCTGCAGTGACTACGATCATGCTGGGATCATTGCCTCTCTCACTCCTCTCCCACTGAAGCCTCGTTTTCCCCCTTATCAGGTTGATCCGGGTTGATCACCTTGCTCGCCTCCCTCCCCTTCCCCCCCTTCCTCGCCTTCCTCATCCCTCTCCATCCTCTCCGCGTCCTCCCCACCTCGCTCTTCATCTCCTTCATCACTACTGCATCTGCGCACAACTGCCACCCCCGCCCCTCCTCCCTGACCCTCCCTCGCGGGTGCCTCCCTCATCTGTTTGCGATACATCGCCGCAAAGTCCTCACTCGTCGTCGCTTCCTCCCACGTCTTGTCATCCCTCCTCTTGATGAAACGGGGGAAACGGACGGACAAACCCCGCTCGCCACCCAAGAGCGATGCCGATGCGGGATAGACGGGGGAGAGAGTAATGCTGCGAGGCGTAAGTGTCGGCATTTACCCAGAATCGTCGCACTCGTCTTGGCAACTCACTCGGCGCCTCGAATCTCCCACACTTCGTCCGGGGAGAACCACACATCCGGCCTCAACCCGTTCGTGTCATAGTACCCGAGGGGTTGATCCTTATTGCACTTCTCCGGGATGGCGTTCTCGGGCGGATATCGCACGATGAGGTCCTTGTAAAACGCGTCGGTGAATCCAGAGATACCTACAGTGATTCATTAGGCCAGTCGAGCCCGACCGCGTTGAAACACGCGCCCCTCGCACTCACACTTGCACACTGCTTCGAGCGCCCCGGTCTCGGGGTTGTGACACGCCAGAAGGATGGGAGACCACCATCCTGCCTTGCGACCCTGACCCCACCACGCGCCTATCGGCACGAGATCGAGGCTGTCTCCAATACCCTCAAGGTAGTCTGGGCGAATTCAGCGCCGACACACACTTCCAGAAATCACGGCGAGCACCCACCTTTCTTGACCTTGAGCCAGCCCTGACTCCTCTGGTCGGGTTCATACGTCGCGGGCAGAGGCTTCCTCTTGGCTCCATTTGTCCCATTCGCTCCATTCGCTGCAACTGCTGATCCAGCCGCGGCATTCTTCCTCTTCCTACCATCGCCGTTCGCTGATCCATCGCCGTCATCCTCCTCATCATCCCCCACGATCCCCTCTCCCGACTCCAGGAGCTTGACCATCAACCCCTCACATTTCTGCTCCACCACCATCTCGAAGAACGCCTGCATCTCGGCCGGGACGTCGGTACACGACGTCGAGTCGAGGGACTCGACGTGATCGAAGCGGGCTTCTCTTGGGTCCGAGGGCGAATG